CTGCATGCAGGTTCTCCAACACTGCAATCATTTCCGGAATCTCGTTTCTGACAAGACAGACCATCAGTTAATACTTGATCTGTTACAGAAAAAGTAGACAGGACTAACAAGATGTCACTTGTCTTTGCACTAGCAGAAATCTGATCTGCGGATGCGTATAACTTGACCAAGGTCGGTATACCTGAGAAGGCGTTCCTAACTAACGTCAAGTGGCTATTGCAATTTCAGAGAGGCACATTCCCAAACTAAAGAAATGAATACTGACCGGCAGAAGTCGTTCCTCCAGATTGCATCGCGAACAACACCTGTGACATGACATCGGTGAAGAGAGACTTGCATAACGTCAAGCATTTGTGTACGTACCTGGTTTTAATAAGTCATTCAGAGTCGTCAGAGTCGGTTCGACCAGCTCCCGGAAAATCTGCAGAGTAAAGTCGATCTCTTCGTCGTCGGGTACGTGCCAGGAAATCTATAAAAATAGACAGTCAACACAGGAAAAACAATTGCCAGCTAAGCACCCGTACTTTAATTTCATCCGGCGAATAGAGTCTATGTTTGGCTAGTCAGGGAGAGAATACGGGGAAATGTGAATATGCTTACTTTCCCCAATGTCTATGATGGTTCCATCGAAATTCTTCCGTAAAAATGATGATTCAACAAGATATTCTCGATAAACATAATTGTTCACCTCACCTTCACTGTCCCATTCGTCCGGATTCACGAAACGGTTCTCAAGGGGGTATGTGTGTGTCAGAGTCAACAGCATGCTCGAGAGCAACTTTCCAGTCCATGAGAATCCACGTTTGGAAAACGTTTTGGCATGCAAAAGCTTCAGAAGGGACAAAAACTCGTTCTTATATTTCAACACCTGTTGCAGCAAGAATGGTCAAGCCTGAAGTTTAGAATAAAAATATCTGTCTTACAGCTTTCCCATCGCTATACAGAGGCGCACGTGGTAAGCACTTTCCAGTTAAGTGTCCAATTGATCTAAAGAACTCACTTGTATACCGTGCCTCGAAGAATCGCAAGATCTGCATTTTTGTTTATGATAAGCGAAAGGCCAATAGTTATGACACGCGACAGAAACGCACTCCAGTATAAAGTGGCATCTGACGGAATGAGGGTTGACGAAGAGGTCGTTCTCTCAGAGCTGGCACCATTCTCAAGTTCATGTCTAATGATATTCGAACAAAATGGAAAGAATCTAGCCAACGTTTTCTCAGGATCAGCGTTAGCAACACACTCGACCAGTTGATGAATGGCTCTCAAGCCATTCGGTCGAACGTTTGTGCTCGCGTAATCGTAGACCATGTTGAGTACGAGGTCATACAACGAGGGGCTCAAGTGAACACAGATCTGATTACATGCTCCTGCAACCGCATCCACCACAGAAACTGCGCGCAACATGTCAGTAATTGAATCTATGGACGCAGACATTATGAATCAATTTACCTTCGGTAGCACCACCTGCAGTACCATTGGGACCTTCTTCCGGAAGATTTTCCAATAATCGGATGACACGGCGAATGAAATTGGCTATCCAATCTGCAAAACTAGCCGTAGTACTCTTCAAAAAGACGTTAGCCACAAATAACGCCTGACGTTGGGCCTCATACCTTCAAGATAGCATCTTCCTCCTCTTTAGAGAGTTTGGGTTCGTTTTCGTCGTATGTTTCATCGAATGGACTTAAACCGAGCATTTGCGCGGTAAGCCCGGGGCCTGGAGTGGATGGTTCTTTAGGTACGAGATCCACCGCGTCACCCATCGGTGCTCCTGTCAGATCGCCAAACTTTATGTATTGGGATATTTCTGACAGGAATGCTGCTGTACACAACTATAACAAAGTTAAGCCTGAATCGCGATTACAATTTCTCTAAGATCTTACTGTTTTAGAGGGGTCGTTCTTAGAGACAAGCAAAATCAGCAGAGCTCTAAATAGCAGAAAGGCATAACCTACTAAGTCTATACCTGGAATTAGTAATTCTAGAATCTCCACGAGGTGCTTAGCGCCTGGGTAGTGATTCTGGCGAGACACAATAGCAGGAGCGATCGAACTCAAAGCTTTGATGACAGCAGTAGTTCTTTGAGTCTACAGGGCACATTTGAACATAGCTAATCCCTGAAAGGAAGGTATCTACTCACTTCTACCAATGCTTCCAGAGATGGCATCGCACGCTCGAGGAGTGGAGGTAAAACAAGACCTGGTTCCATGACACTCATTGACTTGAGGCAACTTTGAATGTTAGATACTACGGTATCACTCTCCGAGAACATGGCTAGGAGAACGACGGTTCGGAGAGACTTGACGAGCTCCCTTCTCATAAGCTTGGTCAGACGCCGGTTCTGGAAACGACCGAATTAGTATCTGCTCAGGAAAACAAGCAGCTGCAGACGACCTACTCTCGGGGTTTTACAATCGGGCTGTTGTTCTTCGTGCCATCGTTTGTTGAAATGGTACACCAAAAATTTGAGGAATGCGCTAAGCTACAGAACACGTCTGTTCAGCACACACACAACTATAAAACGGTGAGTGCCTACATCAGCAGTCCAACCTCCTGAATTGGAGGGATGGAAAAAACCTTCAACAGAAGCTATGAGTCGGGCTAAAGAATCCAAAGCTTTAGAACCTCCCAAGTAGGTCCGATGCTTGAGATGAGAGGCCTTTGCTAGGGGGGCTGACAAATAGTCTGACAAGGCGCTGGTCTGGACAGCAGGAGTATTCATTCCCGATGGCAATGGGGTGAACAGTGGTGTTGGTGCGTTGGAAGCCGGGGTAGGCATTCCGTCGGGAGACATGGAATACACGATAATACGAGCAAGGGACACTGGTTCAAGAGCGGTATCTCAGCGAAAATAATACACAGTACCAAAATCCGACACCGGCGTACCTATTCTCCAAGTGGGTTTCGGGAGTCGTCCAATTTCAAAACCAGCCTGACTATCGGCAGACGGTCCTGTGGTCAAAGAACCAGCGTCGGCAAGAGGTATTTCTACGCGAATGGCCAGAGTTTTGAGTTGCATGACATTTTCATGAAGAAATCATCCACTCACGCATCGACGCGAGACATTTACACATAAGGAGATGCCATTCATGTTCTGTAAATATGCCTACATCCTTATAAATTCCTGACCACACCGCATCATCTCCAGGAATCTCCTCCGACCAAGCCGGTCTGTCCTCATCTTCGGATTTCGCATCATCTGGGAGTTGAGCGATTTTGCGAGGATCACTGACTTCGGGAGCAACGTGCATCTCGGCAATTTTGGCTAAAAAGTCAAGGAATCGTTCATCATAGATATAAGAGTTGAAAGACTCCCACATCCGGAATAACATGGGGAGATAAGTTTGGGGATGCGTGAGCGGTAAAAAGGTGAGCAAATAATATTGCGAGGACAGTATAGTCTACAAAACGTGGAACATATCAGCGAGTGAAGACAGGATCGACATCGAACATACATCCAATTGACCATTGACAAGTGGTACGAAGGTGGAGAGCATCTCATTGATGGCAGCTGGATGGAAGAATTTCCTTGAATTGGGTAGTTGATTAACATCAGAAAAACAAGTAGCAAATGATGATCCATTCACACCTTGCATTGTCGGCAATGTATCCCATAACCCAAGATATTTGGCTAAGGAACGACTAGTGAGCTTGAGGAATGTCTAACCACCCATATACCTTACGTGTATTCGAACTGACGACGATTCAAAAATAGGTCCTCACTAAGGATTTTATAGATAGGCTTCCAAGGAAGTCGTAAATCGTCAATGGTCATCTTTTTCTTTGACTGAGTAAGAACTTTGAAGCCGTCTGCACATGTCGCGACGACTTGTGTAGGCATCCCAGGGGTAATGCTGAGGTAGAAGTATATTTTGGCGATTGCTACTCGCTTTTCTTTAGGAATAGGATACTTGAGCATAGTCCAGCTAAATCCATGATAAAATGAGAGGTCACAATCAAAAGATAACACGTCAAAATATGGGATTTACTAGGTTAGCATACTATCCCATTGCATTAGCCCAACGTCAAGATCCTTCGCTTCAACACACTGAACGATACGTCGAAGAATGAAATCGAGCATTTCCATCATCTTCGAATGCGGCTCAATCGAGTAGGGCAGTGACTGAGCATATGTCTTGAGTTTTTGCAAGTAGTGGTCGTCTGTTTTGGAGTCTGAGGGAAATAGATGGTCGAACCGACCGGGCCCAGCATCGTCAATGCTAAGGGCAGAGATGTCGAGGACACCCATGCCTAACGATTGAAACGGAAGAAGGAAGGGTTAGCGTTATGAGGCAGAAGAAAGATTTGTACACGCGTCTATCGCGAGTACATATATGTCACTGTTTGCCCTATTAGAATTAAGTGGAGCTTTCCTAGTAGCGCTCCTGATTCTATGTTATGATCTCTACCATCTCCCTTTCGTTTTCTCAAGACAGAAAAAGTTTCAAGTCCTCGGCCCGTACTTCCATCTTATTTTAAACAATAGCCGCCGACTTCGCATGGAACCCTCCTTTGAAATTGATCTCTGGACAGGCCACAATAGTTGCGGCACGTGGCATTTCTCTTCGTAAGCTCAGTACCAGCCACAGTACCAACTTCAAGAGTAACAAGTTTGGCTTGGGGCTGACCTAAATCCCTAAGCCTTCGGAGACCAAAGAGATGTTCAGGGGTCATTCTAATAGTGGAATAAGTGGTGAAATGGGCCTAGGTATCTTGGGCGTCAACGCAGAATCAATTTTGAAACCGGGATCACGACACTAGAGAAACTATACACCGTTCTCGTACATCAGAGAAGGTGGATTATACTGCATGCGCAATCCCACTTCCGGAGGGCAGTCATTAGTATTGCAAGGTAAGTAAGTCGAGGGTCTTTCGAAGATGATTGATTTTGACACTGTCCAAAGGATCCTGTTCAATAGGTGATCGGTACCGGGTGGCTGAATGATCCTGTGGTTTGTCGTTTTACCTCTTCAACTGGGAACTTTGACAAAAAGAACCGTCACCTGTGCGATTCGAACACACGCGGGCAAAGCCCAACCGCTTCGCTGGTTATGTAATAGCAGGCGATCCCGTTAACCACTCCGGCAAAGTGACTTACAGGTGTTCCTCCATTACAGTGTATAATATTATTCTTCTTATCAACATCCACAGAAACTAAGTAAATTACAACGTTATATAACCCGTTATGGCGTACATATCATAGGTGCCTTCCTAATCCACGGCGAATTCTCGTCCTTCAGCTGCTCAGCAACAAAAACCCCAAAACCCACTCTTGCCAAAGTCGTTCCAACCTTATGGTCTCCAATAAATCCCGGCACAATGTCCCTCGTCTCCTTGTTCGTCAAAATCGGGACCCTCACAATCGTCCAATCCAAATCGTTCTCCTTCTTGACATTCTCTCCAATGGCAACGACGTCTTTGTATGCATTATGTGCACCGACGGCTACTCCCGTCACGAGCGCCTGGAATTTAATGTCAAACTTGTCCTCGGGCGCAGTAATTGAAGCAGTGCCTATATTTAGGACGGGAGATGAGCGGGACCAACTGCCTGATGTTGATTGGACGTACCCAAGACCATGAGACGCTTCACATTGTTTTTATGCATGAGCTGAATGACGTTTTCCATGGCATGGGCGAGAGGTTGGCCAGATGGATGGAAGGGTCCCTTCTTCACGCTGGGCCCAAGCGCAGACAAGACTGCGTCTACACCCTCCATCGCCTGTGATAGTAGCTCGAGATTTGTCAATTGGCCATTGATAACAGTGACAGCAGTGTTCGAAGTAACGTCTTCTGGTAGTTTCTCAGGCGAGCGAACGTAGAGCACGACAGAACAATCTGTGAGAGACGAGAGAACTTCGCGAGTAAGCAAGATCCCCACAGGACCTGTAGCACCGAGGATGAGAAGACGCATAGGTTCAAAAGTCGAGTATCTTTCCAGTAGTGGTAGTGATAGTGGAAGTTCAAAGACAAGGTACAAGTCTGAGAAAACAATTGGAACAGTCCGATTTCAAGCTGGAAACGACGGGTTCGAAAATGTACACGAAATCGAAGGCTATGACGTGACCATGCCAAAGATCACGATCCCAAGTCGCCTTCCGTCGGTGCCCTCGCCCATTCTCCAGCTTTTCGAGCCTCCTCTTCAACAGCTCTAATCTCCTCTCCGAGTTCACCTTCTTGGTCGACATCCAGCTGAACCATTTCCCTCGCATACTCCTTCCCAAATCTTTCCACAAACCCGTCTATCTCCGTGTTCAGGTCCACAGAAACACCTTTTGCACTCTCTATAGAAACAGCTTTGACATCCACCAACCCACACGCAATCACCCTATCGAACCATGCTAACGGCTCCCTCGTCACATTCAACGAAAACCCATGCGTTGTGAGTCGATGTCGGACTTGAACACCAATACTTGCAACTTTTGTAACAGGACTCAAAAATACACCAGTATTATCCGAAGGAATAGGTTCCAGTCCATGGGCTTCACGTAGATGGCGTCCGATAGTCGTTTGCATATGACAAATGTAGTCTCGAATGCCCATTGCGGGGGTGTAACGTGAAAGGTCGAGAAGAGGATACCCAACGATTTGTCCTGGTCCGTGGTACGTCAATTCACCTCCTCTGTTAGTCCTGACAAAGTCCGCTCCGATACTCGTGAGTCGCGTTCGTTCATCGGAAACGGATTCTTCGGTTTGCCTTCTACCAGCGGTGTAAACGGGACGATGTTCGAGGAGAAGAAGGATATCTTTGTGAGAATTATTGAGTTTCCTCTGAGCTAGTTGTAAAGCGTGTAGCCTTTCCTGTAATGCCAATGTCCTTGCGTAGGGCAGAGGCAAAGGAAATTTGTGGAAGAAAATGGGAGGAAGACTCATAAATTTTTTTACATAATCCAAGGTCTTATTGTCGGTCACCCTGGGCTGGCAGTCTAAGCTTCCATTAGATGCAAACTGGAAGGGTAATAGACAGTAACATATATAAAGAATACAGTATAGTAAACTCGTCCAACGTATAGTATATAGAACGAACGATAGAGTCATCGCAAATCAACCAAAAAAAATCGTCCCAATAAGTTAAAAAAAAGATCGAGCACCCATATTCCAAGTAAGTACTATGAAGAAGTTTGCGATTGTCCTCGACTACCTCTAGGGATTTTTCTCGGCCTGTCACCCGGCTGTCGTTGCTGCTGCAAAAACCCCGGAGTTGCAGATCCAACAGGGGGACTAGCCATACTGGAAGGTTCCGCCCCCGTCGACGCTTGTTGTCGTGTATTATACCCCATCTCACTCCTTGCCGAATCACTACCGAGTGGATCACTCGTTCCAGAGCGTGAGGTGGACCCGGTACTATCGTCAATATACCTCGGTGGCAGTTCAACAATCTCAGTTCCATCCGCATGGTATACGGTAATAGGGGCCCTTCCTCCGTCATGATGTACGACGTAGACGTTATTACGACCAGGCGCAGAATCAGATCCAGACCCCGTATGACCATGTCCCGAACCTCGAGGGTTCGTATCTGTGGGTGAACGAGGTTCACCGGGTAGAGTAAACGGTTCGACAAGATATCCTGTACTAGCACCAGTACCTATCGTTGATGCATTACCAGATAGGTGGCTGTCAGTACCTGGGGTATGAGGGAAGGGGTCAATGAAAGGCGCGTGTGTCGGAGATCCTTGAGCCAGATCCATGTATGTCTCCGTCTTGTACTTCTTGCGTCTTTGCCGCAGGAAGCATATAGCAATAGCGCCACCAAGAAGTAGACCACCTATTGCACCTCCAACGCCAGCTCCTATCGCGGTCACTTTTGACACGCCATCGTCTTCTTCTTGAGATGAACTGCCAGTTACGATAGGGAAAACAAAAAATTGAATTGATTGAGCGGAGACATTTACACCGTATGGCCAGCCACGTTTACACACCTTTTGGAGAGACAGGTCGTGGGACCATTTCCACCGCTGTGTAAAGGACCGTATGCCCAAAAATTACCATCAGCGTCAACGACGCTAATAAAGAACGAGGACGCCCAGGATAACTGGACAGTCCAATTCATAGAAGACATTGTGTCGGACGTGATATTCCATGGGGGATGTAACGTGGGCGCAACCTGCACTTACAGGTTCAATCGCTCGTTCTGAGGTAGACTGACGGAGAAAAACTGACCGTAAAGATATACGGCGGTGTGCCATTTTTTGGTGTCACTTGAATATCTGTGCACTGGTGGCGCTTCTTGAGCAAAGGAATTTGAAATTACAACGAACTTATGATCACATACCTGGTCTATCCAGCCATATTGTGACAAGGGACCATCATGGACTATTGCTTCCACATCCAATGGCCCCAGGGGAAACGTTGCATTGTTACAGGATGGCGTGGAGTTGTTGGCAATCACGGTATACAATCCTTGACATCCACCGGTGTTTCCGTTCTTATCAAACTGGATAGATTACATTAGAAGTCGTGCTTTTTGATTACGACCGGTGATAACCCACCATACAAATTTGATACTGCGCCGCGACGAACAATCAGTCAATGTTGCCACAACGTGTAGGGGAAAAAATACAAACTAGGGTACCGGGACCGAAGGGTACTTGCCAATCCTGCAGATCATTGAGCATTGGAATTGGAGAAATGAGAAAGCATGGCTGTTACGCACGAAATTTAATGAACTCCCTGCGTCGACAAGGAAAGGAAAAACGAAAGCACTGAGATAGTATTTGCACAGTTAGGAAACAAACAAGTGAAACAGCGTTTTGGACTGACGACGTGTATATTTGGAGCAGATATGGAGCGACCGGGCTAGGACTGAGAGTGGTTGTCAACATAGATAGACATTGTCGCGTTGGGTAGATAACATACCCAGGATCCCCCGCATTCCTTGCCCATGTCAGGTGAATAGTCTCGCACTGTGCTACAAAGATAATGAGAAACAGAAGAGTGACCAGTGGACGTGATATTTACTCGTAACTGGGACGGGCACTGCTTGTCCTTGAGGAGTGTAGTTAAATTCAAAGCTCTGAAGTTTTGAAGAGGACCTTAGTGCCGTATCGAGAAGTAGAAAATGAACAACATACTTGGGGAAGAAAATTTGTGATTTCTGCGAGCACATATTGACATGACAAGAGAAGAGAAAAAAGAATGACGGTAGGAATGGTCCACAACATAACAGTCGGAAGAAAAGATTGACTTGAAATTAGACTCAGACTCAAGCGAGCCCAATCATGGCACGTGGTTCCTAGGACGTCAAGACACCGGTCACCATTGTCATTGATGTCGATGATTGGCCAGGATTGACAGAGTCTACTGCAGTGATTTGGGACCTACATAGTAATTACTGACCAGATGCGAGTCAGTCAAACTCTGCGTTGGACAGAAGATGCTTGGAGTGGTTGGACACACAGAATTCTATAATTATTCAATGAATCAACAGATCAGCAATTGCAAGTCACTTGGTGCTGAGCCAAATTTGGACAGCTAATCATCTTTCTTCTTTCCTTCATTTCCTCTACTTTTTACTTTTTGCATGGATGACCCTTCAGATGCTCCGCCTCCGCCTCCGTCTCCTCACCATCTCAGCCCTGTCATTGGTTTCATAATCGGTCTTTCTATTGTTTTGCTAGCATCTATCTTGAACGCCGCAGGTCTCAACTTGACGAAACTCGACCATGTATGTCACTGACCTCTGTCAATTATTTCATCACCTCACTGAGCGTCTCTTTAGGTACGAACCAACGCTATACCCAAAGCTAATCGAAGAAAAGACTGGTTGCGCCCTTTATGGCTCTTAGGAATGTTACTTTATATGTGCGTCCCTTGTCCGAGTTCCCTTTCAGTCATCACTGACAGTATGCAGTCTATCACAATTAATTGGAAGTACTCTTGCGCTCGAATACATGCGCGCTGGTAAGTACCAGCCAGCAACACATGCACCAGAACTCACTGACCGCTACTCAGAATATGTCGCGCCTTTGGGCTCCACGTCTCTCGTGTTCAACTTCCTCTTTGCGCGTTTTCTCGTTGGTACACCTGTCACGAGCACCGACATCTACGTATGTCTTTACACACTGCATTCCAGCCACGTATTGACAACCATCTCTAGG